CAGTTGCGTTAAAGCACGAGGAAGAGCAAATTAACGCTCCCTCTGAGCCGCCCGCGCCCCACGCACCGGCTCCCGAACCCGGGACTCCTGTGCTGAGGGTTTGTGGGCAGTCCCGGTACCCGCGGGAGGACCCCAAAACGCTCGGGTGGAACCTGGTCACGCGTTCCCAGCGCTGGGGCGACGGGCGGGACCCACGCGTGGCAACTGCGGGCAGGAAAGGGAACGTTTTTAAGTCATTCTCGAGGTTTGCAGCACGGTCTGCGCAGAGAAGGGACATCCAAATAACTTTTTTACTGTGTATTTTTTATTTAGTGTGAGCAGAAGATGAAGTGTCCCACTGAAATCTACAGCCACCTACCATCAAGTAAAAACAGACTGATGAGTGTGTAGTAAAGAAGAAAATACTATTCCAGTGAAAACTCTGGCAGTGTCTGTATTTAACTGGTTGCTAAAGCTAAAACATCACAGGACATTCATAGAATTCGCCTTTGTTTATTATTATTATTTTTCCTTAGAACGGGAGAAAGGTAGTGTCCAAAACCACAGATTGTGCAGCTGTTCCAGCTGTGTTCTTTAGCATTTTAAACTGGGAACGTTACTAGCTCCAAGTTCTAATTAGGGCCAGAGGAACTGTAGATTCATAACCGTTAATGGCTCCCTCTGCAGCCAACCTGGCAATGGTGGAACATTCCTGTTTCTAAGGAATACAGTTCATAGTTACTGAACCCATTCCTGCCTTTGGCTTTTCTGTGCCTTTCAATAGCATTTGCAAAGCACTAGCAAAGTTTTGTTTCCTTAATAAGAGCAATGGGAGAAAGCAGGGACTGAAGTGCAGAGCAGTAGAAACACAAATCTGAGCTGGTCAGCAGAAGAGAAATAAACTTGTGAAACAGAACCTAAGGGGAGGAACATGATTGACTGGAAAGGAAAGAAGAAATTAAAGACTGGAGAGAAAGGTAGGCAAGCCATTGTTTGAGGCAGAGAAAACAGCACTTGGCAAAGAAACCTTCTCCTTCAGTGGCCAACAAAGATAACCAGTATGAAATACATATGTTGAAGGCTGAAATTTGAAGAATAAACACAGAAATGACAGATTTGAAGTGTGTCTCTCTGAAGAATGGTTCAAAAATCACTAAGCAGAGCAAACCCCATTTTGATTTAGATCTAGCAATATATATATTTTAAATTCTACTTCACTGTTTAGAAAGCACAATTTATTTCTTTGAAAAAAAAATTCTTCTGATAGTGAATCATAGCTTTATTATTTAAATAATAAATTCCTATCCTCAGTTCATATGATGAACGTATCAGCTGTATATATGAGTCTGAAAAGTATGACAGTTCAGGACAATTTGTGAGAAGCTCACATGGACTATTTTAAGAGAAAAACAGGATTTGACAAATATCTGAGTTTTCTGGTTCTGTTATGGAGATGCTGCTAATTGAGTTTTAATCAAGAACTCAAATCTGTTTTCATGTGTTTAGAGAGTCCTGGCTATTTAAAATTAAATTTGATTGAAAGACTTAATACCTGTTATGACAGAAGCTGAGCCTTTTGCAGAATGTCATTAGTAACTGCAGTCTCAAGAAACAGGATCTGCAGGTCAGATGTGAAGCTGGTTGCAGAACAAGTGCTTGTCTTGCTGAGGAAAACAGGCAGCTGGATATGTTCTTCCAAACAGGAGTGCTAGAAAACTGAAGTCTAGGGCTGTGGGAAGACGCAGGAGCAGTAAGGGCTGGGAAAGGTGCCTCAGTCTGTAGTATGCTGGCTGTGCATATGCTGAGCAGCAGCTCCTTTAGTGCTTTGCCTGCCTCTGTTCCTCAGTACGGACACTGGAACGTGCTGTGCTGGGGAGCACGTGCTGGAGCTGCAGAGATCAGGTCCTGCCATTTTTGTAGCTGCTCTTCCTTATACACCCTTATAAATGTACAGTGTAAAATCCCCTGGCAAGGAACGCACCTGTATCTTGGAAGTCCTTGAGGATACACAGTGGAAGACTGCAGTGGTGGGCCCCAAATTTTCCTTACCCTTCCTTCCATGTTAACATACAGAAAGGACCCCTCACATCCTTTACTAATTCCAGCTCCAGCTGAGCTCTGGCTTTCCTGGTTCTGCTTCAGCGTGCCTAGCCAGCATTTCTGTGTTCCTCCAGGGTATCCCATCCTTGCTTCCACAGTCTGTATAGTCAGGAGTTCCCGTTCAGCCACTATGGCCTTCTCTTTCCCCAGAATCTTAAACTTCGCTATCTCATAGTCACTGCTGCCAAGGCTGCCACCCATGTAGGTGTTAGTGGCCTTCCTTATATGTGAGTAGCATGTCTGGCATAGCCAGACTCTGCTTGTTGAGCACTTCTGTAAAAAAATCATCCTTGATGTAGCACAGAAATAACCTGGATCAC